GAGAGAGAGAGAGAGAGAGAGAGAGAGAGAGAGAGAGAGAGAGAGAGAGAGAGAGAAATGTACGGGAGCACTAACAACGATAAACTTTTGTGTCTAGTAAGGGCCGCAAATTCCAAGGTATTGTTCTGCGAGCATCAACTGAACCGACTGCGGTTACCACGGGAGACGAGTTTGAGACCCCTGCCATGTAGGATTACAATACGAATTCGCGTCCATGTTCACACCACAAGGATACCTGTGTTGTATTGATGTAGTCTTTGGCTCTTGTCACTCCTCCTTTCTTTTTCTTTTTTTCTGTTTTACGGCGCTCGCAACTGCATAAGGTCATATGAGCGCCAAGGGGTGGATGTCAACAGAGAAGTCCGTACTGGGAATCAGACTTACTCTGCTCACCTCTCTGGCTGCCACAGCACAAAGTCTGCTTCGACTATCAAGGCACCCTGACAATAGCGGGTCATAAGAATGTGACATACATACAAAAGAAGTAGAGGGAAAATGACGATAGTAAGGATAAGGAAAGAAAAAGCAGCAGTTCCCTGTAGCAGTTCAGGCACAGTTATGAGCATAACATTGATGAAAAAGCCCATTTACAATTACAATTCTACTATGCATAAGAACTCGAGATGTTAATGCCCCCTCCCCCTTTTGGGAATGGCGTAAAGACACTTCAGTCCGTAGCATCGCCCCCCCCCCCCCCCTTGGGGGGGGGGTGTCCTCCCTTCTTTACACTGCACACACGTATACTCGGTCCTAGGAACGGTGCTAAATTCATAAAGCAGAGACCTGTTGCTCATCAGACCTGTTCAACCTTTGATACTACCTGCTGCTGTGGCGAATAGATGTTGACCAGTGTCTGTGTGTGGTGTAAACAAGGACCTTACGACACACATGTATAACCTCCATGGGTGTAACGGTCGGCCAGGCGCTTCGCAGTCGCCCGCCGGTTGGGCCTGACAAGCAGGATCGATCGAAGCCCGCCTCCTAATTATGGTCTAAGTTGTGTCGAGTGGAGTGTAAGATGCCTGCATTGCTATAAGAAAACAAAATAGATGGTGATACGACGAAATAGCGGTAAAAGAGCCCCCAACCTCCCCACCTCCCCACTCCCCTCAAATGTGATTAAAAATTAATTTATTCATTCATTCATTTAATTAAATACAAGCAGAAATTTCATACACACACACACACA